AAGCTCCAGCCCCAGCCGCCCAGCCCGCTCAGAGCCAAAGATCGGTAGCAGCATCCAGCCTGCCCAAAAGGCCGACGCCGAGCGCTCAGTCTAGGGAGGCTCCAGCTCGCACATATGCAAAGCACGGAGGGACTGAGTAGTTCGCACATGACGTGATCATGGGTATGTTCACATTATTCGACACCTCCATGTCTGTTTGAGGTGGCATAGGATCTACCTTGTCGTATTTAACTATATCTAGGCTTGTTCTGTTGGATACTCCAAGAGAGAACCGAGGAATCCATGCGTACTCGTTATCCTCATCTTTTCAGCGATCAATGATCAGGTAAATTTCGAGGACGAAATTTTCTAAAGGGGTGGATAATTGTAACACCCTGCAACCCGGTCTAATAGAATTGATTAATTTAATTAATTAATTACTGTTCCGGACCGGAGTTGGAGAAAATAAAAGTTCTTAGAAAAATTATTTGAACATGTCATTAAATTCGTTTTGACTGTCTGATTCAGGAAACGCAAACGGAACTCAATTCGGACCCGTTCGGGGGAAAAACCGCGTACTGTTCAGATCAGATTTTTACATAACGGAATGGAATTTAGGGAATTAATTCCCTATTTAATTCCCTTCCACGCCATACACACATTCTTCCTCTTCAATGCCCCATCATTTCTCATTTAATCCCCTTCAATATATACACGCCTCTTCTCTTCCAACCCTTCACCATTGGTAACCCCCCCCCCCCAACACCATTAACACACAACCATCCAACTCCCTCACTCTCTCTTCCTCTTTCCTTACACTGTTCGGCCAAGGCAGCAGCCCAGCGAAGTCTCCGGCGAAGCTCCTGTGGGTGCACGGTTGAAGGAGGAGAAGGAGAAGAAGAGCTAGGCCGTTCGCGCGAAGCGTAGTCATCGTTCGTCGATTCATTCGTCATCTTCGTAGTTTCAACCCCTGCGTTTAGAGGAGAGTAGTTGTCCCCTCTAATTCTAGAACATCAAGTTATAATCTATGTCGTTATATTCATAGGAATATCGTACGCAACCTACGTAGAATCTATGCATGTTCGAAGGTTAGCCATCAAAAGGTTCACTACGTAAAAATCGTATATATTGGCCTAGGAGTCACTAGGAATATATTCATCAATGTTTACATTATTGTTCTAAAAAGAATCAAGGTGTTAAGTTTGCAAAATGGATCAAAACGTAGCCAAGGACAGAAGACTGTCACCGGGACGGTCGACTGTTACTTCAGACGGTGGACCGTACCCTCGGCCAGTCCAACGGTCACCGCCGGGACGGTCAACCGTCAGCCGCGACGGATGACCGGGGTGGACCGTCGGCGTTCCAGACCTCCATAACGCAGCCCACGGTCGACTGCCGGTAGGGTACGGTCGACCGTTCCGCGGGCAGAATTCCGGGCAGTTTGTAGAACGAGTCCCGTTGACCATATTGACTCAGAATCCGATTGTGTGTTTGCATAAAATGTTAATCTTCATTATGTATGTTATTTATTTGATATATTATTGGTGTTGACCAAAGGTAAATACATCAAGCATTCATCATGTTCATCCTAGACGCATGTACTAGGTTCATCATCATGTGCATACCGCTGTAGGGAGGTCAGGCTTCCGTGCGCCTACTGTATTGGCCCCGTCCAGGAACCTTTGGGATCCAACGGGTTTTCATCAGGTGGGCTTTGTGTACGTACATGGTAGTCAGGGTACGGCTACCACCGAGTTTTGCTAGTTCACTTGCGACATTTTCGTCGAGCCCGACTCATTACCGTTGGTATGATAACTGGAGTGCAGGGGTGATCCTGTCAAGTGAGACTAAGCCAGGGGTGTCCCTGATAGTTTAAGTCATGCATCAAGTCATATCGTCATCATGTGTGTTCCATGTCATGTCAACATTCAACGTGGTCGTCATCATCATGTATGTTC